CGTGGGGGGGGGGGAGGAGGGGGGTGGTGGGCAGCTGGTGGGAGCAGGCAAGGTGCTACCTGTGTCCCCTCGGGATGTCACCGGCCGGTCAGACCCTGCATCCGTTCCCGTGCGGAGCAAACGCTCCCCCCAGGTAAAGCTGTCCCTGGCTGCCCCCCGTGGTGCCCCAACTCCCCCATCAGCTGTGTCCTCACTCCCCCTGCTCCCCCGTCCCACAGGAGCTCTCTGGCACTGTTCCCAGGAGGCGGAAGAGGGACTGGGTGATCCCCCCCATCAAGGTTCCCGAAAATGAGCGGGGCCCCTTCCCCAAAAAGCTGGTTCAGGTATGGAAGAGTGGTCTGGAGGGGGGGGCCTAGGGGTCTGGTTGTGGATGTGGATGTTGAGGGAGGGAGCGATGCCAGGGGTGGCCATCACCCTGCATCAGGGCAGGGTGTGGTGCTGCTGGGGGGGTGGAGGGGTGCTCAACCCCCCCCTCCCCATGTGTCCTCCCAGATCAAATCCAACCGAGACAGAGACACCAAGATCTTCTACAGCATCACAGGGCAGGGGGCAGATGCCCCCCCTGAGGGCATCTTCACCATCGAGAAGGAGTCGGGCTGGATGAAGGTGACACAGCCGCTGGACCGAGAGCGCATCGACAAGTACCATGTAGGTCCCTGCTGGGGGGTGCCAGGGGGTGCCACACCATGCTCCCCCCCCTGCTCACACCCCTGCGTCGCAGCTCCTCTCCCACGCGGTGTCGGAGAACGGCAAACCGGTGGAGGAGCCGATGGAGATCATTGTCACTGTGACAGACCAGAATGACAACAAGCCCCAGTTCACACAGGACGTCTTCAGGGGCTCCGTGCCCGAGGGTGCTTTGCCAGGTAGGACCCTGTGCTGCTGGCCATGTCCCTTGGGAAAAGCTCTGGGACTATCCTGATGGGGGGACATGGGTGTCATGTCCCATCACCCCTCTCACCAGGACATCCCTGTCCCCAGGCACCTCCGTGATGCAGGTGACCGCCACGGATGTGGATGATGCAGTGGAGACCTACAACGGCGTCATCGCCTACTCCATCCTTAGCCAGGAGCCACGGGAGCCCCATCCCCACATGTTCACTGTCAACAGGGCCACCGGCGCCCTCAGCGTCATCGCCAGCGGCCTGGACCGGGAGGTGGGCTTGGTGGCACCGTGGGGCAGGTGGCCCCTGCCCTGAGCAGGGGGGCTGACGGGCTGTCCTTCTGTCTGTCCGCCGCAGCGCGTGCGGGAGTACACGCTGACAGTGCAGGCAGCTGATCTGGATGGCGAGGGCTGGACCACGCCGGCACTGGCCGTGATCGAGATCGCGGATATCAATGACAACGCCCCCGAGTTTGACCCCAAAATGGTAATGTGGGGCCCGCTGGTGGAACCCCCTGCCCCAGTGCCTGCTGTGCTTCAGCACTGATGGTGCCCTCAACCCACAGTACGAGGCGTCTGTGCCGGAGAATGAAGCTGGACGGGAGGTGGCCCGGCTGGTTGCCACCGACCTGGACGAGCCAAGCACGCCGGCATGGCGAGCTGTCTACTCCATCTTGCGTGGCAATGAGGGAGGTGCCTTCACCATCACCACAGACCCTGCCAGCAATGAGGGTGTCCTCCGTACTGCCAAGGTGTGTGTGTCCTCCACGTGTCCCCCCCCTTGCTGCCTGCTATGGGGTGCTGCCCATCCCCTCCCTCTCCCAGGGTCTGGACTACGAGGCCAAGAAGCAGTTCATGCTCCACGTGGCTGTGACCAACGAGGCCCCCTTCACCGTGAAGCTGCCAACAGCCACTGCCGTGGTGATCGTCATTGTGGAGGATGTCAATGAGGCACCTGTTTTTGACCCGCCAGTGCAGCTTGCCCAGGTGTCTGAGGATGTGCCACCGGGGCAGACCCTCACCTCCTACACAGCCCAGGACCCCGACAAGGCACAGGGGCAGAGGATCAAGTGAGAAGGGTTGGGGTTGGGGTCTGGCTAGGGTTCCCACTGTCTCCTGCTATGGCACCAGTTCCTCTCTGCCCCCCCAGGTATCTGGTGGGGCACGACCCGGCAGGCTGGCTGGTTGTGCACCCTGAGAACGGCCTGGTGAGTGCACGGGATCACCTGGACCGTGAGTCCCCATTCGTCAAGAACAGCACCTACAGCGCCATGCTGCTGGCCATGGATGATGGTGAGCACCATCAAAGGGGCCCTTGTTCCTCCATCCCACGTGAGGGACATGTGCTACCATCACCAGGAACTGCAGCCCAGCTCTAACACAGAGCACTGCCAGGGGCTTTTGGTCCCCACCCCTGTCCCCATGGGGGTCCTGGACCCCCCCTCCAGCATTGCTCCTCCCTGTAGGCTCGCCACCCGCCACAGGCACTGGCACCCTGCTCCTCACCCTGCTCGACGTCAACGACCACGGCCCTGAGGCCGAACCCCGGGACATCACTGTCTGCAACCACAACCCCCAGCCCCAGGTCCTCACCATCACCGACCGGGACCTGCCCCCCAACACCGGCCCCTTCCGTGCCGAGCTCAGCCAGGGCTCAGGGGACAGCTGGGCTGTGGAGGTTGGCGACCAAGGTAAGAACGGGGATGCTTGTCATGAGGCGGCGTTACCGGTGCACCAGGTCACCCCCGGTGCTGTTTTGTGCAGATGACACCGTCACCCTGCGGCTGGTGGCACCGCTGGAGCCGGACCTGTACAGTGTCTACCTGCGGCTCTTTGACCAGCCAGGCAAAGCCCAGCTCACTGCCATCACTGCGCGGGTCTGCGCCTGCGAGGGGCCCGGGCAGAGCCGTCCCCCGAGAC